CTCTCTCTCTCTCTCTCACACACACACACACACACACACACACACACACACACACACACACACACACACACACACACACACACACACACACAGCTGGAGCAAAAGTATACATAGGAGAAACGGATACAGCAAAGTACAGTCAAATAGAGATATAGACAGCGACTCGCCGCTGTGGGTCAGAGGTGACTAAGCTCTTAATTCTGCCATTGACGTCAGCACGAGCGATTCAGCGGTTAGGAAAAGGTCACGTGAACGCATATCTACCTCCCTTTGTTGGAGCTTAATGACCAGCGACCTTTGTAAGGGTCATTAGGCCCCGGGACGCCCTGTCTTATTAGTGCGACACCAGGTACCCGACAGCTAGGAAGAGACGGGGCTGAATTTTGGTGGCAGTAACTCGCCTGAGAGGTAAAGCTCGTACTGCGGAGGCAAGTTTCATGGGGCTTGATAGGTAGTTGGTAGTCCTCGACATATGTGCAACACCTCGTTATCTTTCTGATGAATATTCGCCAACCAGTGACATTACCAATTCAATACAGAGGTTACTTGAAGGTGCTGAGACCGATGGACTGACCACCTGACTCACGAAATCGTAATGACACGATTTCAAACAAACCATACCACGGGAGGGGACTGAACTCGTGGCGGGTGAGTCATAAAACTCCAGGCCAGAGCGTAAGTCACTGAACCAGCTGGTTACAATAAGATTCATCCAACTAGGTATATTTATACACCATAGGAAGGTTAGCACAGACACCACTGTAACCACAAATACAAGTTCATTCGCCACGAGTTCAAACCCCACCCGTGGTATGGTTTGACTGACCACCTCGTCTTGTACTATCTTCAGGGTAAACACCTTCAAATAACCTCTGCACTGAATCAATAAAGTTATTGGTTGGCCAAATATCTTGAAAATAAAAAAAAAACCAGTGTTGCTAGTGTGTCTTATCAACTTTCCAGTATTTTAAACCTGAATTTAACGTCATGATGCTCCATGACCCTTATAAGATGTTCATAATTGTCTTGAGAACACAAACCCATCACAAAAAACAAGTATAGGCCTAAGATATGAACTGCATACTCCTCTACACATATAGGTATTACTGCTCTCATTGCCTACATATCAAAATATTTAGCAATACGTTAGGTAAGAGTTGTCAGGTAACAGGACAAGTGTTCCATGACGCGGGTCTTAGATGATGACCCGCCACTGGGACTTTTGGTCATCAGACCGAGACCTTCCGCTGGCTTACCGATCTACCCCTTGAAAAATAACTACATTTTTTCTCTTCAACAAACAGGAGAAAGGGCTACTAGCCAAAGCGGGATTCGAACCTGCACGCACACTACATCAAAGTACACGGTACTTTAGCCACTCAGCTAGATCCCGGATCTGGCTGAGTGGCTAAAGTACTTCGTACATTGATACAGAGTTTGGAGGTTCGATTCCTACTTTGGACTGAGAGATAATGTTTATAAATAAGCTCGCCCGTTTGTAAACTTGTATTAAGTATGAATCAAAGTGTATATAGGAGTTCATAACTACGCAAAGCCGTAAATACAGCAGCTTAATACAGTAATAAAATGTCTAGTTTCCAACATTTCGCCCTGTGTTGAGCTTTACCAAGTCGAAGCGAAATGTTGCTTCACCTGAAACTTGATTCCTTGTCTAATCATAACCGTTTCTTGTAAAGGAGATGGTGGCTCTGCGGACAATGTAAATACCAAGAGTCTTCACACTTTAGTCATGTTTTATCCGGTCTGGCTAGTTGGTAAGACATTAGGTCTGCCGTGGATTGGTCTGGTATCGTGTTAGATCTGCCATGGAGTCGTCTGGCATTTTGTTAGCTCTGCCATGGAGTCGTCTGGTATCATGTTAGATCTGCCATGGAGTCGTCTGGCATCATGTTTTAGGTCTGTTCTGGAGTCCGGCATCATGTTTAAATGTATTGGCTCTTTGAGTAAGGATATTCCAGTGCTCCGCAAACAGTTAGGTCCGGTGACCTCGCAGGCCACTTGTAGAGGTCACCGGATCTGTTCGTGACGTCTTTGGGGGTACGTGAAGAGCACAGTTTACGTACCACCACTACCTGCAACCTTGGAGGAGCTGAAAACTTCGATCACTGAAGCAGTTCGCATAACACCAGATATGCTGCAGAGCGTCTGGACCGAACTGGACTATCACATCGATGTTTACCGCAACCAGAGGGGCGAACATTGAGTGCCTTTAATGCTACCTTATACGACATGAAACTGAATGAAATCCTGCATCTGAAGCTACTAAGTGTGAAAGATTATTACAATAAAGCTACATGTTATATCTGAAATCAGGGAGTTTTTGTGGCACCCTCTCTCTCTCTCTCTCTCTCTCTCTCTCTCTCTCTCTTATATATATATATATATATATATATATATATATATATATATATATTATATATATATATCGCAGACAGGCGATCTTAACTATACCACAGTAGACAATATTTAGGAAAATATAAAGAAATATTTCTGAGTGCCCCTGGGAACATTCGAGTACCCTAGACCAGGACATTTAAATGGACACAGAATAATAGCTCTCCACATATATATATATAGTATCCACTGATAAAAGTGTTTTCTCAAGTCACATGACCTGTTCTAAGCGGCTAAAAAATGCTTGGGGCTGGCTATTATATCTTCTAATTTCATAATACATGACATCTCAAAACCCTCCTACCCTATATGGGGGGGGGGAGATGGGGGAGAGGGATGGTGGTAGTGGAGGAATGGCACCAACCGCTGGCCCACATTCTGAGAGAGGCTACGGCAGATAACAGACCCACACTGCACTGCTCGGAGAAAACTTCCCCTCACTCTTTCAGTTGCTGACTTGCAACATTGCATAGCTCCTGATGAAGTACTGAGAAGTGTGAAAGTACTTTAGCTAAAGATTTCCACCCCCGTGGTTTGCCTATATATATATATTATATATATATATATATATATATATATATATTATATATATATATATATATATAAATTATATATATAAATATATAAAAATTTGTGGACAGGATCTGGGGATCTAGCAGAAAGTTTTTAGTGGTTAGTTTAATTTGGATGTTAAGTGCTGCAAATTTCTGCCCGGGAAGCTCAGCATCCTGTTGACTATGTAGCCAGACATTTTATGGCTATTTCAAGTTGCTTTTTCTTTGTATGTGAGTGGGAGGAGAGAGGGAATGGTAAGGAAAGGGGAAAGGTAAGGAGAGTGATAAGGAGAAGGAAGGGAGGGGTGAGAGAAAGAGTAAACGAGAGAGGGCGTAGTAGGAGGAGGAGAAATCGAGTGAAAGGTGTAGGTGTGAGAGAGAGAGAGAGAGAGAGAGAAAGAGAGAGGATTACTCAACAAGAGGAGGCTTTGCCGAGCGGGTAGGGGAAGAAGAAAAGGAATAAAGAGAGAAAAAAAGATTCTGGATCAACCTCCCGAAGCGAGAAGAGGAGAGGGAGAGTGGCGAGGGGAGGCAGGGAGATAAGAACAAGGGAAAGACAGAACAATGAGAGAGACAAGAGAAGCGTTGAAAAAATTGACGAATTTGCGGTGGAGGGAAGGAGGGATAAAGTGGAATTAAAGCATAATAGAGAGAGATAAAAGTCATTGCTGTTGCAGTAAAGATAGGCATAAAGCTTATGAGAGAATATATATATATATATATATATATATATATATATATATATATATATATATATATATATATATATATATATATATATTCTAGGTAGTAGGTTGGTAGACAGCAACCGCCCAGGGAGGTACTACCGTCCTGTCAAGTGAGTGTAAAACGGAAACCTGTAATTGTTTTACATGATGGTAGGATTGCTGGTGTCCATTTTTCTGTCTCATAAACATGCAAGATTTCAGGTACATCTTGCTACTTCTACTTACACTTAGGTCACACTACACATACATGTACAAGTATATATATACACACCCCTCTGGGTTTTCTTCTATTTTCTTTCTAGTTCTTGTTCTTGTTTATTTCCTATCTCCATGGTGAAGTGGAACAGAATTCTTCCTCCGTAAGCCGTGTGTGTTGTAAGAGGCGACTAAAATGCCGGGAGCAAGGGGCTAGTAACCCCTTCTCCTGTATATATTACTAAATGTAAAAGGAGAAACTTTCGTTTTTCCTTTTGGGCCACCCCGCCTCGGTGGGATACTGCCGGTGTGTTGAAAGATTATATATACATATATATATATATATATATATATATATAATATATGTATATATATATATATATATATAATATATATATATATATATATATGTGTGTGTGTGTGTGTGTGTGTGTGTGTGTGTGTGTGTGTGTGTGTGTGTGTGTGTGTGTGTGTGTGTGTGTGTGTGTCGTGCCGAATAGGCAGAACTTGCCATCTTGGCTTAAATAACAACGCTCATCTTGCCATATAGGACAAGTGAAAATTTATGTATGCAATAATTTCACCAAAATCATTCTTAACCTAACGAAAAAAATATATTTTACTGTGTTTGTTTAGTATTAAATTACTGTAAACAAATGTAAAATATATTTAGTTGGGTTAGGCTAAAATAAATTGTTCTTGTTATAATAAGGTTAGGTAAGTTTTCTAAGTTCCTTTTAGTGCAAAATTATAAATTTTTACATCAACAATAATGAAAAAAATATATCTTTAAACGTATAAGAGAAAATTTTAGAATGGCCTTAATTTTAAATGAGTTCTTGCTAATTGACCAGTTTTACATATTCGAAACGACATAATATATATATATATATATATATATATATATATATATATATATATATATATATATATATATATATATATATGAGAGAGAGAGAGAGAAAGAGAGAGAGAGAGATCGTAGAAATAGATATATATCTTCCACAATAACTTACTGATTCTCGTCTCTCCTCCCGGTACTTTAGAGTACGTGACTGGTTCTTGTCTCTCTCTCTCCGCCAGTAACGAACCGGTTTTCTCTCCCCAGGCATCATCAACAGGGGAGACTCGTTCAGACGACGACGATCTAGGAGCAACAGCATCCAACCACCTCTAGACGGACCCATCAGTGGAACACCCCCAGGAGCACCCACATCCTTGGATCTGGCCTCACCCCCACACACCCCAGACCACACCCTCAACACCGTCACCACCCCACAGGTAAGTGCCAAATCTTTTCCCACCTCACTTTCGCCCCCTCCCCCCAACACATATCTCTTACAAGGGGAGAGGAGAGCAAAACATACCGATAGTGAAATTTTTATTAAGCCAAAATTGGAATATGCTTGTACGAAAGCCCACACCTAACAAACATGTGGTGGAGTTAGGAAAGGCCCAGAGTAGAGCTATAAAATGACTACCAGAGCTGCACTACACGAGTTCTAATGAAAGGTTGCTAACTTAGTGTTAGGTTAGGAGAAAAACGAGGAGACATGAAAACTGCATACGTCTAGAAAAGAATGAAAGAATGAGTCAAGATGTCGTCTTAGTGTCTGCAACAGGGACAAGAAGCCACAGATGAAAATAAGGAAAAGGGGAGTCGAAGGTACACAAGAAAAATGTTCTTCTTGGAGCGGCAGACAAGTGTAGTGAATTAATAGAGGAATTAGTACAAAGTGCAAGTGCTGGAATTATTTTAGATTTATAAGATGTAAAAAATAATGAAAACACACACTATGTAACCACAAATAGGTGAGTACAAAGAGGGTGGTTCACACACATGCACACACGTTGAACACGGCTAGAATGTTTCAGAGATGGGACACAGGAACAAGGGGATACAAATCAAAGTTGAACTCATGTGAATCATAGGGATGTTAGGAAGTATTCAGTCATAGAGCTGTCAGGAAATGGAACGATCTGGAATCGATCCCTACAACTACATATAGGTGAGTACACACACACACACACACACACACACACACACACACACACACACACACACACACAAGGAGGAGTTTTATTGCCAATATATTTTTTTTGCTCGAAGCTCTTGACCTGATGGAGCATAAAAGCCAAGAGCTCTCATTGTGTGTGTGTGTGTGTGTGTGTGTGTGTGTGTGTGTGTTTGTTTCCAGTGTTTGAGAGACAAGACTTGCTGACAAGTGTGACGCAACAAAAGTGTGGAAAAATTTTAATATGTAACATTTCGCTGTACCTCAGGTTAGAGCGACACTTCCTTTATACAGCTCTTGTTAGAGCACCTCGTAAATGAAAATTTGCTGCTTATACTGTGCGTGTTTCTACCACACAGTAATGTTGACACCTGTCTGTGGATAGTGATCAGCTAGATTTGGTAAAATTGTTCAGGAAACAGGACCCTCCGCTGGAGTCTTTGATCAAGTAACTGAGGCCTTCCACGGGCTTACCAATCCACCTCTTTAAAAATAAATATTATATAGAAGTATTTCCTGTGACTCCTAATACCCTCACAGTGTCACACTGGTGAACGAATCAGTACTGAAACAGTCACGTGGATGCAACCTCTCACCTGCATGACAGCAGTCAGAAATTTATTCTGGTCTGGGACCGACCTGCGGGGACAGTGTCTCCACAAAGTTGAACACAATTAACCTACTTCAGATAAATACTTTAGCGCCCATATATACATACATATATATATATATATATATATATATATATATATATATATATATATATATATATATATATATATATAATATATATATATATGGGTAGTAGGTTGGTAGACAACAACCACCAGAGAGGTACTACCGTCCTGCCAAGTGAGCGTAAAACGGAAACCTGTAATTGTTTTACATGATGGTAGGATTGCTGGTGTCTTTGTCTGTCTCATAAACATGCAAGATTTCAGGTACATCTTGCTACTTCTACTTGCACTTAGGTCACACTACACATACATGTACAAGCATATATATACACACCCCTCTGGGTTTTCTTCTATTTTCTTTCTAGTTCTTGTTCTTGTTTATTTCCTCTTATCTCCATGGGGAAGTGGAACAGAATTCTTCCTCCGTAAGCCATGCGTCTTGTAAGAGGCGACTAAAATGCCGGGAGCAAGGGGCTAGTAACCCCTTCTCCTGTATATATTACTAAATGTAAAAGGAGAAACTTTCGTTTTTTCTTTTGGGCCACCCTGCCTCGGTGGGATACTGCCGGTGTGTTGAAAGATTATATATATATATATATATATATATATATATATATATATATATATATATATATATATATATATATATATATATATATATATATATATATATATCGTGCCGAATAGGTAAAACTCTCGAGTTTGGCTTAAATAAAAAAAGCTCTTCTTACCGAATAAGACAAGCTAAAATTTGTGTATGCAATAATTTTGCAAAAATCATTCTGAACCTTTTTTCTAACGAAAAAAAAATATATTTCATTGTATTTATTAAATTATTGTAAACTTATCTAAAATATATTTAACTGGATTAGGCTAAATTAAATTGTGCGTGTTATAATAAGGTTAGGTAAGTTTTCTAAGGTTCTTTTAGTACAAAATTATTAATTTTTACATTAACATAAATGAAAAATATATATTTTTAAACGTATAAGAGAAAATTTAAAAGGACTTAACTTTAAATGAGTTCATTCTAATTGGCCAATTTTACCTATTCAGCACGACATATAAATAGTTGGTAGACAGCAGCTACCCAGGGAGGTTCTACCTTCATAACAAATAACTGAGACAGAAACCTGTAATTGTTTTAAACAAAGATTGCTGGTGTGTTTCTGTCACATAAACACGCAAGATGACAGGTACATCTTGCTACTTCTACTTACACTTACACGCTCATGTTCACGTATACAAGTACATACAAATCTGACTTTTTTTCTATTTTCTTAATAGTTTTTGTTATAATCTGTTTCCTTTCATCTTCACGGGGAAGTGGAAAAGAATGTCTCCTCCGTCAGCTATCCGTGTCCTAAAAGGTGACTAAATTGCCTGGATCAAGGGGCTAGTAACCTCTTCTGTATATATTACTAAATGTATAAGCAAGAAAACTATAGCTTTCTTCTCTTTCGGGTCACCCTGCCCCGGTGGGTCACCCTGCCCCGGTGGGTCACCCTGCCCCGGTGGGTCACCCTGCCCCGGTGGGAGACGGCCGATATGTTGAAAAAAAATATTACGTATATAATTATATACATAACACATCCAGATGGGCCATTCAGAGTAGGGTAGTGGCGTAGGCTCGATCCTACGTCCTCTCAGCTTGAGACAGGCAGATACGATACTTACCTGTCATTAATTTGAGAGGCGAAATAATCCCAGGGACTCAGAAATATAGTCAGTATTACTAAATATTTAACACAAATATACTCCGTAATATGTAGGTCACCCCAGTGACTCAATAATTGAATATATCTCACGACAGTGATTCAGTAATATATCTCATGACGGTGACTCAGTAACATATCTCACGACAGTGACTCAGTAATATATCTCATGACGGTGACTCAGTAACATATCTCACGACAGTGACTCAGTAATATATCTCATGACGGTGACTCAGTAACATATCTCACGACAGTGACTCAGTAATATATCTCACGACAGCGACTCAGTAATATATCTCACGACAGTGTCTCAGTAATATATCTCACGACAGTGTCTCAGTAATATATCTCACGACAGTGTCTCAGTAATATATCTCACGACAGCGACTCAGTAATATATCTCACGACAGTGTCTCAGTAATATATCTCACGACAGCGACTCAGTAATATATCTCAGGACAGCGACTCAGTAATATATCTCACGACAGCGACTCAGTAATATATCTCACGACAGCGACTCAGTAATATATCTCACGACAGCGACTCAGTAATATATCTCACGACAGTGTCTCAGTAATATATCTCACGACAGTGTCTCAGTAATATATCTCACGACAGTGTCTCAGTAATATATCTCACGACAGCGACTCAGTAATATATCTCACGACAGTGTCTCAGTAATATATCTCACGACAGCGACTCAGTAATATATCTCACGACAGCGACTCAGTAATATATCTCACGACAGCGACTCAGTAATATATCTCACGACAGTGTCTCAGTAATATATCTCACGACAGTGTCTCAGTAATATATCTCACGACAGTGTCTCAGTAATATATCTCACGACAGCGAGTCAGTAATATATCTCACGACAGTGTCTCAGTAATATATCTCACGACAGCGACTCAGTAATATATCTCACGACAGCGACTCAGTAATATATCTCACGACAGCGACTCAGTAATATATCTAACGACAGTGTCTCAGTAATATATCTCACGACAGTGTCTCAGTAATATATCTCACGACAGTGTCTCAGTAATATATCTCACGAGAGTGACTCAGTAATATATCTCACGACAGCGATTCAGTAATATATCTCACGACAGCGACTCAGTAATATATCTCACGACAGTGTCTCAGTAATATATCTCACGACAGTGACTCAGTAATATATCTCACGACAGTGACTCAGTAATATATCTCACGACAGCGACTCAGTAATATATCTCACGACAGTGACTCAGTAATATATCTCACGACAGCGACTCAGTAATATATCTCACGACAGCGTCTCAGTAATATATCTCACGACAGTGTCTCAGTAATATATCTCACGACAGTGACTCAGTAATATATCTCACGACAGCGACTCAGTAATATATCTCACGACAGTGACTCAGTAATATATCTCACGACAGCGACTCAGTAATATATCTCACGACAGAGACTCAGTAATATATCTCACGACAGTGACTCAGTAATATTAAACTCACGACAGCGACTCAGTAATATATCTCACGACAGCGACTCAGTAATATATCTCACGACAGTGACTCAGTAATATATCTCACGACAGCGACTCAGTAATATATCTCACGACAGCGACTCAGTAATATATCTCACGACAGCGACTCAGTAATATATCTCACGACAGCGACTCAGTAATATATCTCACGACAGTGACTCAGTAATATATCTCACGACAGTGACTCAGTAATATATCTCACGACAGCGACTCAGTAATATATCTCACGACAGCGACTCAGTAATATATCTCACGACAGTGACTCAGTAATATATCTCACGACAGCGACTCAGTAATATATCTCACGACAGCGACTCAGTAATATATCTCACGACAGCGACTC